TGCAGTACTCTGTTGGTCCCATTATTATCCTTCACGGCCGAATTACTGCAAGGGAATATGTGGACAGGTTGGGTAATCACGTGCAGCCCACTTTCCCGACGTTATTTCCGAACAGTCATGTAGTTCTGCAAAACAACCATGCCCCCATTCACACAGCTGAAACTGTTCAGTCATTATGTAAGTGTTGAGGTTTTCACGGGGATAACTACGAAGAAAGTCGTCTTCTGGGTTTTGGCGCCGTGTATTCTTCGTTTTGGCCGACGTTTCGGNGAATACACGGCGCCAAAACCCAGAAGACGACTTTCTTCATGTTCAGTCATTGTTTGAAGAGCATGAAGGTGAACTTTAACATCTTCACGGCCAACACAATCATCAGATTTGGTCATCATTGATGCACTCTGGTCAATTTGGAGACTGGAGTGAGGAACAGACTCCCACCTCCAATATTTCTAAAGGAACTTGAAGATATTCTTCAAGAATATCATAAAATTCCGCAAGAGACTGTCCAAAACTTGTACGAGTCCATTCGAAGAAGGACTGCGGCTGTATTGAAAGCAAAAGATGGTACAACACCATATTAATAATGAAATGTGTAGAGTATTTGTAGTATTTCCATTATTTTATTCAACCATTGTAACACAGTTTAGTACGTATAGTCCGTAGACATAGCCCGACACAATGTCCCAGAGAATGAAATTATTCATAACATAGGATGTACGGAGATTCGCTCCTACGGATTACAACGCACGACACATTGTCCACCATCGAGTGGTAGATGACCCTTGAAAAAATTTCGATAGACTCCAATTTTTCGGTGAAAACGCGATAAAAGTTTGCCATGTGGCAACATGGCACGGTGGATACAAAGTTGCGAATGTCAAGTCGAGGCAGCTGGAGCCCACGTCAAGTCGTACAGCTGAGTTTCCGTGCTTTTGTTCTTTGGTAGTCATCGGCTGTTCTTCTATTTTCTTTGCCGTTCTCTGATCAGTGTCCCGCATAGTGAGTGAATTTTGATGTTGTTTATGAAGATTTATCAATGTTCTTAAAAGGAAAGCTTGGTGGAGTTCGCAGGTGCGAATAGGCGTACTGTATTGCTGAACTTTAATCGCGTTTAATGTGAAAATTATGTCTGTCAAAATTTGTTATTAGAAATTTCCATCACAATATTCCTTAAGTTGTAGCCTGGAAGAGTTCGTAGGCGGGGATTGCTAATAACTTGCATATATGTGTGTAGGTGTGTATGTTTATATTTATGTATGCATTATTATGTGTAACAAATAATGTTTCTCCTGTACAAATTCCGACATCTCAATTACACTTTTTCCTTTCAAAATGCATTAGTACCTGAGGATAAAATCCGACTTGATCCTGCTTGTTGGCAAGCTGAGACAGGAATAGCAAGCAAAACTGGTTGCACATTCATTATAACTTTCGATATGATATTTCGCCATCCAAAACCACCCTCTTTTCACCCCTACCATCATGCCAAACTCTGCTTCTGCACCGTATAATGTCATGTACATTAGCTTCTGTATGACGATACCATCCAGAATGTCTCGTCACACCCCTCGTCCTGAGAGACCGACCGCTGACATTTCACCGGATGCTTCTGTCTGTCCATGTGTCAGTTAGGCTCCGGTCCGTATGCCCTCTGTATAGACAGATTGAAGTTCTTAGTTTATTGAGATGGCCGAGAGGAGTGGAAATAGCCGTTCTAATTACGTGCTCACAGCAGTTATTGTAAGATAACCTTTAAGAAGTTCATCTCTATCCGAAATTATTTATACATTATTTAATGATTTAATGATAATGGTTAGCGAATTCGTTTATTAGGAACACTTTTCTATCTATCTATCTATCTATCTGTCTGTCTGTCTGTCTGTATGTCTGTCTCTCTGTCTGTCTGTCTCTCTATCTATCTATCTATCTATCTGTCTATCTATCTGTCTATCTGTCTAAAGATTGAAGAGGGACGAATTGTACTCAACAAGCAGATCTAATACTACTGTATACATCAACGGCATGTAAAATTCAATAAACAATTAAATGTATGTTTTTTATGTTAATTGCCTACATTTACATGTTGTGCTGTATGAATTATTGTCATTGTTAACTATATATTGTTAAATAAATAAACAAAGAAATCTATCTATCTGTGGTTCTACAACCCTTTGGGCCTTGGCCGCTTTTCAGTTTCTTAGTATATACGCAGTCGGTAGGACTCCTTGGACGGCGATTAGTCCGTCGGAGGGCCGCTGACTGCACACAGAACACAATAGACACGTAATAAACGCAGACAGATATCCATGCCTTGAGTGGGATTCGAACTCATGACCCCAGCTTTCGAGCGGACGAAGACAGTTCATGCTCAGACCGCGCGGCCACTGCCATGGACACTTTTGTATCTACGCCCGTTATATACCGTGGAACTGCTGGTTAAATGTAAATGGTGAATTCTGAAGGAGGGTATCTCTTGGAAACTTTTATTCCGGCATTTCAGTGAATGAGTGAAGAGAACTAAGATAAACCTCGGTCAGGATATCCCGTATCCTTATCAAGATTGGATCCTTGCTAACGTAAAGCAGGGCTTCTAACCACTTTTTACGCCGGATGTTTGGTTGTGAGATAAAACTCGGGAAGGATGTTGCAAAAACGGCAGTGATTTTTTTAATTATTGATATTATTCCAGAATTTTCGCATTCATCCAGGGACTGATATGTTGTCGGTCGAGCGAACTCATCATGAATCATGAGTACGAGGTTTCGTAGGAGGCCATAGTATTATATTTGAGTACACTGACGCAACATTTCGCTGGCTTAAATAAAGAAAATATTGGAAGCTTTAATTTGTCCAATTCTCCAGCCGACATATGAACGATAGAATTTCGTAGTACAAGTTAGGAGTACATGCAGTCCGGACCGTAGATTCCAAATCTCCAGTTCATGTTTTAGCATTTGTTCTGGATCATTGAAAAATTGTAGAATGAAAAATCGAAGCCTGTTATACGTTTCGTGCAGTCGTGAACAACTTCTACGAGTTTAGAAGAGAGGCGCAGATCTCTGCGCCTAGCTTGTTAACTTATCCTCATACTGAACGTAGTGAATGTCCCAATTAAGAGAAGATTCATCATTTAAAATTCGCGTTGAGTGATGCATGTTTCGAGGGATAACATGTAAGTAGTTACGTTCAGCTCTGTATCCAGTAAACCAATATTTCTGATAAAAATGAGGTACTGTGTGCTGGAACATAACAGCACCAACTAGATAAACCTATGGAGTTATATTGTCATCCTTCTCTCGCAAATTTTATCCTCATTTGGTCGCATTGTTCAGAAGCAGGCTTCGGTGTGTGAACACAGTGAATCCCTCACATGCATCAAAGCAGAGCGTTTCTTAACGAGCTGAACAACTCTCTTCTCGAGTGAACTTGTTTAAGAGCTAATGAGGTATATGTCGGCACGCAGGCCAGTTGCTTGCTTGTCTCGATAATGGAGAGACCGTGCTGAATGTTTTGAAGTTTGAAGGTGACCGAAATGTGAGGCTAACTTCTGTCCAGGACCGAATTAAAAGATGTATGACGTGGAGGACTGACGTCTCTTAACTGCAACCCGCACCACAATCGCATTTCCTCCTATACGTCATTTCCTTTCTCCCCTGACTTTCAGCCTCGATGGTGAGGACATGTAGGGGAAGAGAGAGATATAAAATAAATATGGCTACTCTGTGAATAACATTGTTTACTTGCTCCCACATATGACTTTAAGTTTCACATATTTTATAATCAGATGCGATCAGCGGTAACGGATTTAGTCTAATTTGTATTCTCGGGATGCATAGCTATGTTCATCCCTCAGAATTGGTACAGAGTTTAGCGGGACATCAGTCCTTCTCATTGGTTACATCTTTGAAATTCCGAGATAGTACCGCATGTTAAATCGTTTCCAATGCATTATAATTATTCTGTTGTCTGACACTGTTACTTCTTTGTCTTCTTAAAATTGTGTTAAAGTTCAGTCGTTACTTTATCGTCACGTGTATGTGTGACTGTAGAAGGGGTTTTGGTTTGGATATTGGATTTATTGACCAGTTACAGGTCGTAACTACGAATAACTATAACACTATCGCTACTTCCAGACTTTATAAAATCACGCTGAGTCTTTTCCAGCCCGCACTCTCTTCAGTAGTAGTTGCCTGGTAACGGCTTCTAACAATGTCGATTCCTCTGCTTCCTGGGTCAGGTCCTCTGTGAACGGCGGCACCTTTCCAACTGCCTGTTTTTGCTTCAGTTGTCTCCTGATAACTATTATGCACGGCCCAATTGGAAAACACCATTTCCAACAGCACGTTTGTTGCTGCATACGTATCCCTTGTCGCGGAACGTATTTACCCAGCCCTTGCCTAGAAGAGGCTCTATACGCTTCTATATACCGGTTCCTTTAACATACTGAAACTCTGAAGTCAGCCCACAGAGTGCATTCCTGTTTTTCTTATGGTTCTGACAATTAACAGCTTTTTGTCCCTAAGAGCGGTTGGTGTTTCTAGCGAAGATGTGAGATGTTTCCTGTGCGGTACGAACTGAATTTTTATGTATTACTTAGAAGGAATTCAGACTGTAAGGGTTAAAAACGCATTCGTAGCAGAGAAGTTTATATATCGTGCAATGGGAGACTAATCTATTGCGAATGATGGATTACGAGGACTGAAGAAAGAAATAATCCTAGAGGATTTTAAGGTACTATAAAATTTATACCGAGTGACCGAGGAATCTGCAAGAAATCTCAGTTGAGACAGCGGGTATGTGTGTTAATATTCTCCCAACTACGAAACAGGAGCTTCGACCGCAATATAGTATACCTATGTAGCTAATAGACAGTCGGTAGATAAATAAAAAAGACAAGCACGTATATACTGTATTGAACTTCGTCTCCACCACGTCACTTTTGCCATGTTTTTGAAATCAAGTGTTTGTAAGAAAACTGTAATGCACGGTCTCTGGTGCAGGTCAGTACATGCTGGTCTGGAAGAAGGGCATCGCCGTGCTGGCTGCTGGACCCACCAAGGTGACGCCTGACAACAGAATTCGCTTGGTGGACGGCTACAATCTGGAGATCAGCAATGTGCAGACACAGGACGCCGGAGACTACGCCTGTCAAATTGCAACTTTGCAACCCATAGAGATCATCCACACGGTCGAAATTCTCGGTATGTACCGCCCTCTTACTTCTCAAGTAAGGCCTGCAATTGTGCAACCTATACTTATCCATGTAAGTTTTGAGGTTTTCACGGCGATGACTATGAAGAAAGTCGTCTTCTGGGTTTAGGCGCCGTGTATTCTTCGTTTTGGCCGACGTTTCGGCAGCTACCGCTCTCTGCATTCCAAGCCATTCAAGTGCTCTGAAGATGGAGGCGATACGTTACTCCGAAACGTCGGCCAAAACGAAGAATACACGGCGCATAAACCCAGAAGACGACTTTCTTTATACTTATCCATGTTCGCCCGTTCAGTTCACCCTTTTGCTCCATCTGTCTTCTTTGCCAGTTTATTTTTATTTCTGCTAACGACAAGCAGGGGACGAACTTCTCTAAATCGTCGGGCTGTATCCGAACTGCACAGTGTTACAATCAAGAAGACCGCGTTTTCAGCAGTCGCCGCCTTTTTTACAGTGGCTCTTCCAGCTCATTCAGGCCTCTTATTCAGTTCCTTTATCATTTTTCACAGGCGGTAGGACTCCTTGGACGAGTGATCGGCCCCGTGCAAGGCCGCTACCTAACACAGAACAACATGAACACAGAATATACGCATACAAATACCAATCATTCATGCCCTAAGTGGGACTGGAACCCACGATCCAAGCGTCAGAGCGAGCGTAGAGAGTTCATGCCTCAGACCGCGCATCTACTGTGACCAGCTTACTTTCGCTTACAGTGTATTAAATAGAGGTGGATTTACTTCATAATAGAAATATTCAGTTTTAACGACATACCTCTTTCGGAGGAAGGAGGCGGTTGAATGACGTATAAAACAATCATTCGATTGGCTTAATTTGTGTGTCTGTTGTGAGTATAAACCATTAACTGCCGCCTGATTAAATACTGCCCTCTGTCACAACATGTGTTCAGAAGATAGAAAAAATATGATTATAAATTGTCGACTTATCTGCTTGTTGGGCCTATAATTTATCATCCCCATGGTAATGCGTTATTAAGCGTTCATTAGTACTGCCGGGTAAGTGTGGTAGTGAACTGTGTTTTGCCATGGCTATAGCGCCGGCCTGCACGCCGCGTGATCGCGCACAGTTTGGTCGCTACAATGTAATCTCAGCCACCACAACCGGATCTTGATTTATAACTTCTTCCGCTTTTTCTCCGCCCCTTCACCGCCCAAACGCGCCACGTCACTGGCTTACTCACACCAGACACTTCAACCCTCGTCCCAGTTCTCAGCGCAAGGCACACGTCCACAGTTGGCCTGCAGCGTATGCCACACGTGCAAATTTTAGTCCACACAAGTCCTTGCCTTGTTCTTTCCTACTTCTTTCTGTCTTCCTTATTCTTTTCGTTGCTTCTTCATTCCTTGCTTCTTCCTTTGTTAATTTTTATTTCACAATTTCCAATATTTATTTTTCCCCCTCTTAACTCATTTAGGAGCCGGGATAGCGCAGTTGGTATAGCAACTGGCTACGGGTTTGACGACCGAGGAGTAGGAGTTCGAGTCTCAGTAGGGTCAAGAATTTTTTCATCTCCATGACGTGCAGACCGGCTCTGGGGTCCACCAAACCTCCTATCCAAGAGGTACCGAGAGTAAAGCGGCCGGAGCGTGAAGCTGACCACTCACCTCAAACTAGTGCCGAGGTGAAGAAAATGTGGATCTATACATCCACTCCACCATTTTTAATGCTAGTGGGGTGGGACTAAGTACCTTTTACTGCGGCCACTTCTGGCCTGTTGTACCAGTCCCAGATGATAGATGAGGGTGATTGTGGAGCAATTAGTGGAATGAAGATTGGCAGAGGAAACCGAAGTACTCGGAGAAAACCTGCCCCAGCGCCAGTTTGTCCACCACAAATCCCACTTAACCAGACCCGGGATCGAACCCCGCCGCCGCGGTGGGAGACCAGCTACTAACTGCTTGAGTTATGGCGCGGCCCCTCCACTCCCCTATACGCCTTCATGGCGTAGTGCTTAAATAGTTAAACACAGGGACAACTTTACTTTACCTTAATTCATTCTTCACTTTTCCCATCCTATATTTCTCTCTGCGTTACTAATACTGCTTTCCTTCTCTTTTCTTCGTGTTCAGTTTCTTCCTTTTATATCCCAAATTGCCGCCTTTTTAACTATTGGGATTGTACAGTAATAGCACCTGCATTTCATCGCCGTAGAAACTCCATTCCAAGCGTCGTCGTTTCAAAAGATGCAAATATTAATTAGACAGCAAATTTCATTTTACTCCGAACTGCCCGCTACTAAATCTTATCCTAAGCAAGATGAAACCAGTTCACATCCTCACACCCAAATTATTTAAGATTAATTTAGTAAAATTGTGTAATCTGTGCCTAGATCTTCCAAATAGTTTCTTTCAGTCTGGATTTCCGGCCAAAATTATGCATATATATTTCTCATCTCTGCCATGCGTGATGCGTTTCCCGGCTGACAAGGCTCACAATATTTGTTATGGATGCAAGAAATTAAGTGCTTCAATACGCAATTTTTTATCCCAGTCTCAAATAAGATCCTCCTTCGTAGGCTCAGATATTTCCCTCAACATCCTTCCAGAGTTTGAAAAGTGAAGTTTTGAGAGTGACTGCCCTTGACCTGTTTGACCTTTTGTATTTAAGCAATGAACACATATTAGTCGGCCCAGGTACCCTAACACATTGAAGTCGTCGCACAATGGCGTGGGTGCTAGTGAAATATGAACTTATGTCATGCAATTGAGCACCACGAAAGGGAAGTAGTAAATAAAAGGTACGAAGGACTGTTAAATGAGGGGGGGAGGGGACAAGCCATAAATACTTCAACCTCTCGCAAACATTGATTGCAATAATTGAATGCTTTACCGGGTGTGTTGCTGGATTACAGCAAACAAATAGACTCTTACAGTAAATTATAGCTTGTTCATAAGTCATGCAGTCGATTGATTACAGGCTGTTTATATTCGTTATGACTTCGTGAGAGTACTGGAAACTGATTCCAGCGTAAACAGTACGTATAAGAGATCAAACATTCACAGGA